TGCACATGTGTTTTTCTATTGAAAGACTCATCCATCTCCCCCCGCCAAAAAAAAGTGATCCTCCCATCTAAGCCTTCCAAGTAGCTGAGACCACAGGCATGTGCCACCATGCCAATTTTTTTTTTTTTCTGTAGAGACAGGGTCTTACTATGTTGTCCAGGCTGTTCTCAAACTCCTGGGCTCAAGCAGTCATCCCACCTTGGACCCCAAAGTGTTGAGATTACAGACGTGAGGTACTGGCCCTTTTAGTCTTATTTCTCAATTATTTATATATCTCAAATGCTTGGTATTATGTTTAACACATGACAGGTACACCATAAATGTTGGCTGAATCTAATCAGTTACTAAAACCTGTCAATTTTTCTTCCCAAATGTCATTCTCTTTCCTGCAGTATTTCAAACCCTTGTCCTCTGCTTCATTGACACTGCTGACACCAGTTTCTTACATTCTTCCCATTATGGCATTCTTTGTTTTTTTTTTTGTTGTTGTTGTTAATCAATGAGAGCTTGTAACGTTGCTCAGGTTGGCCTTGAACTCATGGTCTTGCCTCCTCAAGCGCCAGGACATCAGGCCGGAGCCACCGTGGCCCCCTATTTCAGTTTCTTGCATTCTTTCCAGAATAATGGGTTGGAAGTCATTCCTCTTCTCAAAAACTTAAAGTAAAATAAAGTCCAAATTTCCTAGCATGCATTCAAGACCTTCCAAAAACTGGCCCCAAATTATTTCTAGTCTTAGATTCCGTTATTTCATTATTTATCTTCCAATAAACTCTATGCTCCAGATTGCATTAGTCTCTGTGTTCTTCAACATATCCTTCACCCTTATTTGTTTTTATCCATGCTGGGATCTCAACTTAAAAGAAAGTGCAAATTGGTGGACCTTTTTGTTTTTTGCCCACAAGCATTTTAATCAGATAAGGTCTCAGGACAGGGAGGTGGCAGTGAGCCAAGATCACACCACTGCACTCCACCTGGGTAACTGAGCAGGACCCTGTCTCAAAAAAGAGGAGATGGGGTCTTTCTCTCTCTCGCTCAGGCTGGAGGGCAGTGGTGCAATGACAGCTGCTTGCATCCTCCAACTCCTGCCCTCAAGGGATCCTCCCGCCTCAGCCTCCCAAGCAGCTGGGACTACAGGCACATGCCACCATACTCAGCTAATTTAAAAAGTTTTGTTGTTGTTGTTGTTGTAGAGATGAGGTCTTACTGTGTTTTGTAGGCTGGTCTTGAACCCTTGTGCTCATATGGTTCTCCCGCCTCAGCCTCCCAAAGTGCTATGATTACGGCATGAGCCACTGTGCCTGGCCCACAGCTTTTTTTTTTTTTAATTTGAGCCAACATTTAAAAGTTGTGAAATTTAGCACATAATGGTGCATAGTGGCTCACGCCTGTAATCCCAGCACTTTCAGAGGCCGAGGTGGGTAGATCACATGAGGTCAGCAGTTCAAGACCAGCCTGACCAACATGGTGAAACCCTGTCTCTACTAAAAATACAAAAATTAGCGAGGCATGATGGCAAGCGCCTGTAATCCCAGCTATTCATGAGACTGAGGCAGGAGAACTGCTTGAACCCGGGAAGCGGAGGTTACAGTGAGCCAAGATGGCACCATTGCACTCCAGCCTGGGTGGCAAGAGTGAAACTCCGTCTCAAAGAAAAAGAAAATTAGCATAAACCTTCATATGTCCAGTTTCTTGAAAAGTCAGAAGATCTGTCAATACTGGGTCCCTGTTCTTATTTCAGGACCAGCCAACCAGAGCTGTATTGCTAGCTGCCATCTTTTCTCAAGGCATGTATTTGTTACCTAGCCAGTTAAAATCAATCAATCACACCACTGTACAATGAAGAGATCAGGCTAACAGTAGGGCAATAGGGCATATCTCCTAATGTTAGCAAATGAAGAACATCTCTCTCCTGTGATGTCTTCTATCCCCAGAACTGTTTAACTTGAATCTCTCAAGACCCTATCTGAATTTTAGATAAATGGGCTAGCCCGGGCACAATGGCTCACACCTGTAATCCCAACAATTTGGGAGGCCAAGGTGGGCGGATCACTTGAAATCAAGAGTTTAAGACCAGCCTGGCCAACACAGTGAAACTCTGTCTCTACTAAAAATGCAAAAATTAGCTAGGCGTGGTGGCACATGCCTGTAGTCCCAGCTATTTGGAAGGCTAAGAAGGCAGGAGAATCACTTGAACCCAGGAGGTGGAGGTTGCAGTGAGCTGACATCGTGACACTGCACTCCAGCCTGGTGGACAGAGCAAGACTCTATCTGAAAAAAGAAAAAAAAAAAGTCAATGAAGCTGAAAAGACCATTCTCCAGAAAACTGGCCCAATTTTTTCAACAGATTAGTGTTACACAATAAAAAGGTTGTTTCAGGAACCCAGATAAAGAGGGTAAAAGAAAAATAATCTGATGTAACTCATGGTACTGGATTAGACCCTGCTTTAGACAAAAATTAGCTACCAAAGGACTTTTTAGCCAGGTGCAGTGGCTCACACTTGTAATCCCAACACTTTAGGAGGCCAAGGTGGGCAGATCACTGGAGTTCAGCAGTTTGAGACCAACCTGGGCAACATGGTAAAATCCTGTCTCTACAAAATATATAAAAAACAAATTAGCTAGGCATCATGGTGCTCATCTATGGTCCCAGCTGCTTGGGAGGCTGAGATGGGAGGGCTACTTGAGGCTACAGTGAGCTGTGATCGTGCCACTGCACTCTAGCCTGGGTGACAGAGTGAGATCCTGTGTAAAAAAAGAGACTCTAACATCAGGGCCCCCCACTGTAGGACTGCTGAGGTCCACTCGAGACCCTGCTTGCCTGGGGATCACATGCAGTGGCTGCACAACAGTAAGGGTTGCTGCCAGTTTCTTCTGCTATCCGGAAAAAAAAAAAAGACTTAGGACAATTAGGGAAATGAAAGTACGGGTTTGTATTAGTCATTATACATTGTTAATTTTAAGCACTTGTTATTTAGGCAATGTCAAAAATAGTTTTATTTTTCCAATGTATGTACTGAAGTAAAAAATTAAGACAATGAGGCTAGGTGTGGTGGCTTACACCTGTAATTCCAGCACTTTGGGATGCCAAGGCAGGCAGATTGCTTGAGCTCAGAATTTTGAGACCAGCCTCAGCAACATGGCAAAACCCTGTCTCTACAAAAAATTAGCTGGGTATGGTGGTGTGTGGTGACCTTATCTACCTAAGAGGCTAAGGTAGGAGGATCGCTTCAGCCCAGGAGGTGGAGGTTGCAGTGAGCCAAGATTGTGTCACTGCACTCCAGCCTAGGCTACAGAGCCAGACCGTATCTTTAAAAAAAAAAAAAAAGAAAGAAAGAAAGAAAAAGAATGTATCAAAGTCATTGAGAGGTGAAAAAAAATTTTTAATAGTATTAAAACAAATGAAGACAATGCCAGGTGCAGTAGCCCCAGCTACTTCAGAAGCTGAAGTGGTAAAATCACTAGAGCCCAGGAGTCTGAGGCTATACAGTGAGCTCTGATGGTGCCACTGCACTCCAGCCTGAGTGACACAGTGTTCTTTGACTCCCTCCTTCCCCCAATTCTCCTGACCTTAAAAGTTTAGAATGGGTTGGCAAATTTTTTTCTGTACAAGACCAAGTATTTTAGGCTTTGTTGCAGCTACTCAACCCTGCTGTTTTAATGTGAAAGCAGTCACAGACAATATATAAACAAATGGGCATATCTGTATTCCAATGAAATTTTTACAAAAGCAGGTGGTGGGATTGTAACCTGTAGTTTGCTGACTGACCTAGAACAAATAACACTTCCTGAAAAGCCTTTCCTGATAGCCATCAGAATCAGTGGCTTTATCATGGTTGGCTCACATATTACTAGTAAATCCACTTAGCACATTTACGATCTCTTATTATATATTCACTCCATTAGGGACTAAGTTCTATATATGTAGGTACTATTTTGCTACATAAGCCTCATCTTCACTCTGACATTCAATGAATATTTGTTTCTAAAAATCAAATCTACCCTAAAAGGAAGATATGACACCATTCATAATATTCACAAGAATGAGCAGCAAGTTCTAAAAGTAATTTTAAAGTTTAAGGGGGAAAAAGCACTATGTCACTAGGATACAATACATTGCTCTTATGCTCTATACTGTGACATGCTTATCAGTATTTTATAATCATACCTTGTGTGCATAGAAGCACAGGCTCAGTGAGCATAGAAATGCCTTCTTTTTTTAAGCCACTAAAGTATCTAGAGTACTATTAGATTTACATTAGATGCATGATAAATGCTCAACAAATTTAAACATACTTCCGGGGATGGGGAGATTTCCTCTTTTTCTTTTTTTGATACAGGGTCTTGCTCTGGCACCCAGGCTGGAGTGCAGTAGCATGATCTTGGCTCACTGCAACTTCCACCTCCCAGGTTCAAGTGATTCTCGTGCCTCAGCCTTCTGAGGAGCTGGGATCACAGGCGTGTACCACCACACCGAAAAGGTAGCAGCAAATATTTTTGAAGACTATTTTTATAAGTAAATAATTAAGAAACCTCAGCAAGTACATTTCCCTCCTCACATTTACTTTCTTAGGAAACATTGAGGGGTGGAGGCTTCTCTGCCTGCAATGGAATTCCAGATTCTAAAGCAAAGTTGCTTGCGGGACAAAGGAAAAAGATACATACATATCTTCTATAGAAAGTATCCCAAAAACTCAGGAGCACTCAGGAAAGACATGGAATTTAGGATAAAGGCAGACCCTGGTAAGCACACAGTTCAGATCATGAGAGAGAGAGCTTTGACTGCTACGGAACAGGAGATAGGAGGAAACAATGTAGGAGGGCACACACAGGAGAGCCACTGCGAAGTGCACACTACTCCCAGACAGACATCCTCCTGAAAGAGAAGTTAGCACTAAGATAAGAGTAGGTAACAAAGTAAGGAAGAAGGGGAATTAAGGTGAGAGAAAGGCAAAAAGCAGAGGGGAAACCTTCACAAAAAAGGGAGTAATGTTGAATTAAAATTTAGAGAGTTGAGTAAAAGGTTTATTATTAGTGCAGTCAACACCATGGAACAGTACATACAACACAACCAGCAACCTGCAGAGACACTAGTGCAAAGGGTAGGGAAGCCTTTCACTGAGCTTCCTGGCTCCATCAGAGGGTAAGGACTGGAAAGCATGAGCCTTGGTAAGGCAGGTAGGGGAAAGGGGACTGGAAGAAATGTAGTAACCAGAATAAGTATAGCAGCGTTTTCAAATTCCTGAGCACAATGTCCCGGAGCTGGAACCCTACTCCCCTCAAGCTGTATCCCTCTACCCCAGTCCCGGTGGAGTCATGATCCAACTACCCAGACCTGCAGCAAGCTAGCCTGGAATAAAACTCTGAGAAGAAGCCGTTACATGGTAGGGAGGAGGCTTTCTATCTCCAACCACATTCCCACCCACATATTAAAATAATCACACCTACTATCCCTCCCCTTCTCTTACTCTGCCAGTCACTCTAGGAATCAAGGTATGTCCTAGGTAATCTGAAATGGAACTGAAGTCCCCAAGGGGGTGTGGGTGAGGCACAGCACAGCCTGTACTTAGAGACAAAGATAAAATTTCTATCTGATTTGCACGGTGAAGCTTAGAACCCAGCTATACAGCCCCAAGGAAACTTAGGGAAGCGGGTGTTGCCTTCAAAATGAATACTCTAAACCCAGAGTTTTATGATGAGGTCCTAGAAGGGCTAGGAGGAAATTTTTCCAGAGGGCACAGGCATAGATGCTGGACTGTCATATCTTTCATAGGAATAGAGGAAGCTCCTCATTTCAATTGCAGATACAGAGGTTTGGGGCAGATATTGTAAGTTCAGCCGAGGACTTCCTTGGCTCTTCCTATATTAAAGCCAAAGGTTGTGCTGAAAAGGAAAAATATAAAACACACCCCCATCCCTGTCCCACCCCATCCAGAATCCCAATAGGAACATCAAAAGAAAAGCTTTAAGTTTGATTTTTTTTTTCTTTTTTCCTTTCTTAAAAAACAAAAAAAGGAAGTAAATAAATTAAATTGCCAACAATGTGGCTGGGATTGCCATGATTAGGCCATGCTTAAAAAAAGAAAGTGGGCAGTAGATAGGGTTTATGAAATATAAACAATGGCAAAAGGAAATTATCAAAATAACTAACTCTAGTCACAGGGCTAGAGAGGGGTCTATGAACAATTACGGCTCATGCCACAAGAGGCAGTGCCGACCACATTTTAGCAAAAGCTAGACATAGCTTCTTGCTGCACACGTCAACCCCAACAGACTAACCCCTACCCTAAACCCTGGCATTCTCTAATTATGAAAACTTGTAGGAAAGAAGAGCTCATCTAGAAATGTTCAGTATCCCAGCCTGCATACTGGTAGACCCAATGGGAGCCGGCACCTTTAAGGTGGGCTGAACAAGGATACTGCTTGGCACAGAGGTCCAGTCTTTCCCTAAGGGTCATCAGTGATGGCCAATTACTGGCCTCATTACATATTTCTAGAGGTTTGGCTCCACCCTTACCATTTCTTCAGGATGTCTGCTACTTAGAGTCAATAGGCCTGCCTGCTCTGGTTCCCTGGTTTTGGAGGAGACGGACAATTAGAGATTCCTCACTCTGCCCTGATCCTCCAGGGAAAATGAATCTCTTTGTGCTTTCTGAAAATATCTGGAACCAGGGACCCTAAGCAGGAAAATGGATGGAAGTGGGGGCTTTCCCACCCAGACTGATAATTTATAGACATTTTAGGGGAATATGGCAAGGGGAGGAAATCTGGGTTTCCCACCTGAAAGGCTGAGCAAAGTACCCCAGAGCCCTTCAGTGCCAGAAGAGCAGGGAGATGTGTGGCTCAGGTATAAGCCACAGTATTAAGGATAGAGGGGAGGACTCAGGTCCCAGCTGCTGGAGTGATGGGATTCTCTGATTTCCATCTCTTCCTGATAGCCAGTCGAGTTCTATATTTCTTCCACGCCATGCGCAAATATCATGACAAGGCCTGGCTCTTGCACCATGTCATCACCCATATGCTGGTTCTCACAGGCCATCACGACAACAGCCTGCTTGCCAGGGATGCGCTTGGCCACGTAGTTCTCATAGTAGCGTCGGTTCATCTGTCTAGTCTCTAGTGTGGCCAGACCCTGGGGCCAGCTACGCTCGTGGGCATTTTCAATCAGCTCGTTGACAATAGAAGCAGGACAGCCACTCTCCACCAGGGAGCGCTTGATTACAGCCTGGAGCACAGCATCAGGAGTCGAGATCATCCCTCCCCAGCGGGTCACTCTTGCTGGCTGAAGGGAGTTCACCCACCTGTGTGGAGGTGATTAAAGTTGGTCATTTCAGCTCATCTCTTTTCCCTGTATTGGCTTTTTCTGCTAATAGAAATAACCACCCACTTTGCACTCAGCTTACCTATTCTTCTTTCCTTATATCATTGGTTCAGAAACCCCAAATCTTTCCCCAGCTAGTCCCAACTGAGTCACCACATGTTACTCACCAGATTAAATTCCACAAGTCTGCACTCTGTCCCCGTTACTTTTCTTTGAAATCCAAATATTTAGCACAGATAGCACTTAACACATAATTAGTGCTCTATGTTTAATGAATAAAACAATTATTCCTTATACTATGTCCCACTCAGCACTAGTTGCCCTATATATATTGATTCACACTTACAGTGTCTATGAACTGTATAGGACTCCAGAACTGAAAGAGATCTTAGACTTCGCTTGTATACTTCGCTTGTCTTTGTTGCATTTTAGAGATCACTTTCCTGGACTTGCACTCTGCCTCCTCTTCTCTGGGTTGTAAGCTACCTGAAGACAGGGACGATATCTTCTATTTCTTTTTGGCTCTCCTAGCACTCCACAGCCTTTAATACAGGGATTCGTACATGGGTACTCACCTGATTCTGGACAAAGTGCGTCCTTGGGCAGGCTTTCCCTTCCATCCACCCAAATGCATAAGATATCCTGTGGTGGAGCTAAGGGTTATCCTCTTCTCCTCTGCCCCTGTCCTTAATACGAGCATCTGAGAAGCAGTGACCCCAGCCCAGCTCCCCTAAGACCCTCCTTCTGCCACTCCCCTGCTCTTCCTCCTTTCAGGCCTTGTTGTCAAGACGTGGAATCACTCCACGTCCTGAGCGACACTCACTCTAGGATCTCGTTGTATTCAATTGTCTCCTCCAGGTTCTGAAGGTTGGGGTTGACACTGCGGATTGCACGCATGTATGCCTTTAGCAGCTGGATGTCTCGCTTCTGTTGTGGGGAAGAAAAACCAGGAATAATGGTTAAGGCAGAAAACAGAAAAAAGACAAAAGTTTATCTGAGAATGAGGGCAACTAAGAGATCCAAAGAACAACCAGTTTGTAAGCTTCAGGAAGACAGGGATAGGACTGTCTCACTCACAGCTGTCTCCTTAGTACTTACAAATGTGCCTTCACAGAGAAGGCATCTGGTAACTATTAGGTGAATGAATGCTATGAAAGGAAGTCAAGGACAGCTCCAATCTGATTCCATGCTAAGCCATAGGCAGAATATCCACTCATCCAGGCTCACAAGTGTAAACACAGGTCTGTGTGTTCACAATTGGTTTTTATTACCCACGGGTAGGCAGTTGTCTGCATATGAGGGCTATATTCTCCCCCGTGTCTCAGGGCCTACCTGCTCTGCCAGCTGGTGTTTGTGTTCAGCTGATGTCTTCTCCAGCTCTGCGATGCGTGTCTGCTGCTGCTGTACCACTGAGCGCAGGTGCTTAATGCAGTTATGGTTTGGCAGCTCATCTTTGGGCATCTCCAGGCTGCAGACCAGGGTGGGGAAAGAGCAGAATAGTGGTGATCAATGGGACATGTATGAAAATGGCCTATTCTATGGCAGAAAACTGCTAAGTAGATTTTGTCCTACCCAAAATTTCTGACATTCATTTCAGGCCTCCCTCTTGTTTATTACCTTCACTTTCTTCTTCCAACCTTCCAGCTTGCCCCTTTGCTGTCTATTTTCCTTAAATTTCTTTCCCTAATCAAGACACAGTGTTTTATCTATTTTTTAAAATTTATTTTATTTAGTATTTTCTTTTTCCTTTTTTTTTTTTTTTTTTGAGACAGAGTTTTGCTCTTGTTGTCCAAGCTGGAGGGTAATGGTGCAATCTCGGCTCACTAAAACCTCTGCCCCCCGGGTTCAAGTGAGTCTCCTGTTTCAGCCTCCTGAGTAGCTGGGATTACAGGCACGTGCCACCACACCTGGTTTATTCTTTGTATTTTTAGTAGAAACCGGGTTTCCACATGTTAGCCAGGTTGCTCTCAAACTCCTGACCTCAGGTGATCTGCCCGCCTCAGCCTCCCAAAGTGCTGGGATTATAGGTGTAAGCCCTAGTACCGGACCTCTTTTTACTATTTAGCTGGGGGGAACAGAGTCTCATTCACATCTGTAATCACATCAGGTAATCACATCTGGGATTACAGGTGTGACTGGCAGGAGGCCAAGGAGGTTAGGAATACCCCTTGCCAACATGCATTAAGAGACCTCAGCTAGTGGGGAGGGCATCCAGAGACAAGGGCATAAATGAGATGGCCCTTATCCATGTGGGGTAAAAGAAGGGAAGGAATCTCACCCACAGCCCTGTTCACAGGTCACAGGCCGCTTCGGGTTGTGCTCACAGTCACTGAGGTGAGACATGAGGTTGTCAAGACGGACAACAGCACTACAGCCAAACACAGCGTTGTCACAGGCAATCTGCAGCTTTGATAACATGTTCCGCATGATCCGAGGTACTGGGCGCAGATGGGCGACCGTCACAACACTACGGTCCACTGGACACGTCTGTTGCTGAGAAAACCACTGGGTGATGCAGGCGTTGCAGAAAGCATGCTCACAATGAGGTGCCTAGAAGGAAGAACAAGGCAAAAGGGGCACAAGGTAATTAGCAGAAACTAAGAGCCTGGATATGATAACTCTACAAAGCCAATCAAGCCATTGTGCAGCTTCTGCGACAAGAGGTCCCTTGGGTCACAGCAAAGAATAGATCCTCTATGGGCAAGGCATTGTAGGGGAGGCTAAGGCAGGCACACTGCTTGAGCTCAGGAGTTTGAGACTGGCCTGGGCAATATGAGAAAACCCTGTCTCTACAAAAATTACAAAAATTAGCTGGGCATGATGGCACAAACCTATAGTTCCAGATACCCAGGACACTGGATGACTTGAGCATGGGAGGCGGAGGTTGCAGTGAGCCAGGATTGCACTACTGCACTCCAGCCTGAGTGACAGCCAGAACCTGTTTCAAAATGTATATATATATGTTCCCTGTGCTCAAGATTAAAAATGAGTTGTGAAATAAGACAAACAAGTAAAAAGTTATATAACAATAAGAGATATAAATGATCTTCCCAGACAATAGGACAGATGACACAAGGCAGCCAATTATTAATTGCCATCTGGATTGCATAAACAGTAATTGCCAAAAAAGTCCAGAGGAGGGTAAGGTCTTTTCAGGCCAGCTCAATCATAGCAGGTATTTACAGAGAGGACAGAATTTGATATGGGTCTTAAAGGATAATTCAGATTACAGATTTAGAGGAGGGGGACATTTTACTGGCAAAAATTCATGTAAGAAAGCTAAATAAGGCCAGTTGCAGTGGCTCACACCTGTAATCCAGCACTTTGGGAGGCCGAAGCAGGCAGATCACTTGAGGCAAGGAGTTCGAGACCAGCCTGGCCAACATGGCAAAACCCTGTCTCTACTAAAAATACAAAAATTAGCTAGTCGTGGTGGTTATGTGCCTGTAATCCGGGCTACTCGGGAGACTGAGGTGAGAGAATTACTTGAGAGGAGGCAGAGGCTGTAGTGAGCCAAAACTGTACTCCAGCCTGGGCAATAGAGTGAGACACCGTCTCAAAACAAGAAAAAAAGCTACAACAATAACAAAAAAGCCCTCCTGTTGAGAGGTTAAGACACCTCTCTGTGAGGGCTCAAGTTCGTATTTTATGAGGGATGACCTGAGGTGTTGCCCTGAGGCCCAATAGCCACATCTTGTTTCCTAAACAGGGCTGGAGTTGTTTTTGTTTTTCTGTCACCCAGACTGGAGTATAAGGGCATCATCTTGGCTCTCCACATCCTTGACCTCCAAGCCTCAAGTCTAGCCTCATCCACCAAATAGCTGGAAAACACAGGCACATGTCACCACACCTGGCTAATTTTTGTATTTTTTTTGTAGAATTGGGGTTTTTCCATCTTGGCCAGGCTGGTCTCAAGCAATCCACCCACCTCAGCCTCCCAAGCGCTCACAGGTGTTAGCCAATGTGCCCAGCCTGATTTTTATTTTTCAAAGATATACCTGATTCTTTTCAAAGTATTATATACCATATCTCCAAAGAAACCCTTAATTTCTCTACTTTTTTCTATCTCTACTGCCACTAACTCAGTTGAAGCTGCTATCATCTCTCACCTGAATTACTAAATGTTTTCTAACTGTTTTCCCTACTTCTACATTGTCCCTTAATAATGCATTCTGGGCCGGGCGCGGTGGCGCACACCTGTAATCCCAGCACTTTGGGAGGCTGAGGCGGGTGGATATCACGAGACCATCCTGGGTCAACATGGTGAAACCCCGTCTCTACTAAAAATACAAAAAATTAGCTGGGCGTGGTGGTGTGTGCCTGTAATCCCAGCTACTCAGGAGGCTGAGGCAGGACAATTGCCTGAACCCAGGAGGCGGAGGTTGCGGTGAGCTGAGATCGCACCATTGCACTCCAGCCTGGGTAACAAGAGTGAAACTCCGTCTCAAAAAAAAAAAAATCCATTCTACATTTAGCAGCTAGAGTGATGACTTAAAAATGCAAACCACACCAGCCAGGTGTGGTGGCTCACGTCTGTAATCCCAGCACTTTGGGAGGCCCAGGCAGGCAAACTGCCTGAGCTCAGGAGTTCGCGACCAGCCTGCGCAACACGGTGAAACCCTGTCTCTACTAAAATACAAAAAATTAGCCAGGCATGGTGGCATGCGCCTGTAGTCCCAGTTACTTGGGAGGCTGAGGCAGAAGAATTGCTTGAACTTGGGAGGTGGCGGTTGCAGTGAGCTGAGATGGTGCCCCTGCACTCCAACCTGGGTGACAGAGTGAGACTCTGGCTCAAAAAAAAAAAAAAGTTGAGAAATGCTGAGTGTATGATAAAATATATTGTTTGCTAAGAACAGCGGCAAAGAAAACCTAACCCCGGCCTCAATATGTGGAAAACTACTTGGGGCATTCTCAAGCAGCAAGACAATATATGTATATCACATAGGAGTTTTAAAACAATTCTTTAAGTACAGGATATGTGACCCTGCCACCCCACCCCCTCCCTGGCTCCCTCGCGGAGAATACGTTTTAGTTTATCTGTGATCGGTGGTAAGCAGGCACCAGCTGCCTACCTGGTTTCTCTTGGTTCTATGAGAAAACACAGAATACCTGTTTGTTAGTAATTATCACCTGTTCAGAGAGAGAATACATATGTGGGTCAGAGTCTGCTCGAGGCCTTCAGCCCAGAATGCTGTCAGCCCCTGAGGCTCTCAACTTGGAAGGCTGCTGGCCCCTCTGTCAGTCCCACTTTGCTGTTCTATCTGGGTGTCTGCTTCTTAATGCCTTCAGCGCCACTTGGGTGGGGGGGGTCTCTATGGCCAAACTGGACTCAGTAAAAAAAAAAAAAAATCAAACCACACCATACCACTCCCCTGGTTAAAACTTTAGAGTATTGGGCCAGGCGCGGGGGCTCACACCTGTAATCCCAGCTACTCAGGAGGCTGAGGCAGAAGAATTGCCTGAACCCAGGAGGCAGAGGTTGCGGTAAGCCAAGATCGCACCATTGCACGCCAGCCTGGGTAACAAGAGGGAAACTCCGTCTCAAAAAAAAAAAAAAAAAACTTTAGAGTATCTTCTGAAAGCAGACCCTGAGACAAAGACAAAAAAAAAAAAAGAAAAGAAAAAACTTTACAGTGAGGCTGGGTGCAGTGGCTGATGCCTGTAATCCCAGCACTTTGGGAAGGTGAGGCAGTCAGATCACTTGAGGTCAGGAGTTCGAGACCAGACTGGCAAACATGGTAAAACCCTGTCTCTACTAAAAATACAGAAATTAGCTGGGTATGGTGGCACACACCTGTCATCCCAGCTACTTGGGAGGCTGAGGCACAACCTCTCTGCCTCACTTGAACCTGGGAGGCAGAGAGGTTGCAGTGAGCCAAGATCACACCACTGTACTCCAGCCTGGGCGACAGAGCAAGACTGTCTCAAAACAAAAAACAAAACAAAACAAAAAACTTTACAGTAGTTTCCCATTTTTTTTTTTAGATGGATTTTCACCCTTGTTGCTCAGGCTGGAGTGCAGTGGTGCGATCTTACGTCACTGCAACCTCTGCCTCCTGAGTTCAATCGATTCCCCTACCTCAGCCTCCTAAATAGCTGGGATTACAGGTGCAGACCACCATGCCCAGCTAATTTTCTTTTTTGTATTTTTAGTAGAGATGGGGTTTCACTATGTTAGCCAGGCTGGTCTCAAACTCCTGACCCCACCTGCCTCAGCTTCCCAAAGTGCTAGGATTATGAGTGTGAGCCACCTGCCTGGCCTGTCAACTTTTTCATAACCATCTTAGCTAAACCTTCCACCCCTGCATATGCATACAGAATGTGCTACCTTTTGTGTAAGAAAGAAAAGCAGGTGTGAAAAAACAGATATATTCATATATACACTGGTATACACACATACATATATATATGTAGCCATATGTATTCATATTTGCTTGTATCTGCCTTAAAACACACTGAAAAAAGTGTGTATTAAGGCACACTTAATTAATAAAAATAGTCATCTATGGGGGAATTAGGTGGACAGTAATAATGACAGAAGTGAGAATTCTCACTGTATACCTTTTTATACTATTTCGATTTCTGAAGTATGTTCATTTTTCACTTATTCAAAAAAAAATAAATATACATGACACGGGGAAATCAGCATCCCTAGCAGGAGCTTTCTAACCGTGAAAATGTGTCTGTGAACCTGGCATCATGAGGGTTGCCTGCTCTACTCCTCAGAAGCTAAACCCCAGAGGTAGATGGGTGGCTTCTGACTAGACTGTCACCAACTACGACTCACCTTTCCATAAGTGACTTGGCTCAAATGATAGTGCCAGAAAACAGACAAGACCCTGCCAGGGCAAGGAGGGAGCCTGACACACCCTGTGACCTCTTGACACTACTACTGGATGACGTGCTCCACACTTATCCGATATGCCTCTAATGGCAGCAGGCTGCAAAGGCCTAGAAAGAAGACAGGTCCAGAGCTGGCTGCCACTGGAATGCAGTCTGAATTTTATTCAGTTCAAGCATCTGTACTCCTTTTGGAGTACTGGGAGAAAAAATAAAACTCAAAGGCTCAAGGGGAGCCCCTGGGAGTTAGGTAAGCAGTGAACTAGGGAAGGGCCATGAGACCTCATTGCCTATTGTCCTGGTTTGGAAAATGTGATAATCTCTAGATAGCCAGGAGTGAGAGAGGATTAACTGGTATTTACAGAATGAGGGCAATAAGGATCCTGGAGGATGCTGTCCCATGAATACAACTGCTAAGGATACCTCACTAATTGTACTTGCCTGGTAACTGTGAGCTTCTGCTCATACTTGCCCCAGGATGATACAAGTGACTCTGGTCTGGCAAGGGTGGCAGAGAAATGACCTATTACAGGTAGCAGCTTTCACATCAAAATGCAGAGTGCATGGCTGCATCAAAAGCTGGTCTTTTCAGTAGATCCCAGGAAGAAAATAGGTCAGTACATACAGTTCCCCACTTCCTATTTGTTAGATGGTAGGTAGGTAGAAGAGGCCTGCAGGGAGACTGGCTGATTACCTGAAGCACTATATCATAAAAATGCAGAGAGAACTTATTAGGAGAGTCCAGAAGTTCAATCGTGGACAGGAAGATGGAACCTAGTAAGAGATCCTGCAGCGGAAAGGAAGCTACTGAGCTATTATCACAAGACAGAAACAAGCAGCTGACCATTTTACAGGAGAAAACTTTCAGAGTGACCTCAGAAAAAAATCTGAACCAACGGATCTCTGTGGTATCATCTCTAGATTGATTATGGAAGGCCTTATTCTTGTAGCCACCATTACTCCTCTGACCTAAACCTTTATTGGGTGGGGGTGGAGGGAAGAATACAGTGACTTCCCCATGGGTCCTACAACCCGTGAATATTTTTTACTAGTTCCACTGCTACCTCTTGCCCCACCAAACCTGCCATCAGACCAACTCACCTGTACAGGCTCCTCCAAGACTCCACTGCATATAGGACAGATAAGATCTTCATCAACATCCCCCTGGAAACGGGTTACATCATACCCCATGTCTCATCACTGAAACCCAGGTCCTGAAAGGTCAACAGGAAAAAGAGGCCAGTTCAGAAGAAGCCTACAAATATGTGACAAACATAAACTCATTGCCAAGATCCATTATTTATCCAACAAATATTTATTGGGAGTCTACTATGTGGCAGTCATTTGGCTGGGTTGAAGATGACTCAAGAAATTTAATTCTAAGGCCCGGCACAGTGGCTCACGCCTGTAATCCCAGCACTTTGGGAGGGCAAGGTGGGCATATCACCTGAGGTCAGGAGTTCAAGACCAGCCTGGCCAACATGATGAAAACCCATCTCTACTAAAAATAAAAAAATTAGCTGGGCGTGGTAGCACACATCTGTAATCCCAGCTACCTGGAAGGGTGAGGTACAAGAATCACTTGAACCTGGGAGGTAGAGGTTGCAGTGTGCCAAGATTGTGCCACAGCACTCCAGACTGGGTGACAGAGTGAGAATCCATCTTAAAAAAAGAGAGAGAAATTTAATTCCAATGGGGAAAAGACATTATATAAGCACACATTTAAAATATAAAGTGATAAATACTCAGAGTAGACCCAGGACCTTATGAGGATAAGAGACATGAATACCTAAACCTGGTTGAAAGCAGAGGGTGGTTTTGACAAGTTTTCCAGGACTGGTTGTCACCAGAAATGTGTCCTGTAGGGCAAGAGTGAGCTAAGGGAGCAGGGCATTAGATAGGTTCAGAGAATTTCAAGTGGTTCAGGAAAAGGCTGACCTTAGGGGTGGGAGGGAGGACCTGTCAAAAGACAAGGCTGGAGAGGCAAGCAAGGGTCAGGCTGTGAAAAGTCTTCTGTGAGGAGTTTGGACTTTATTCTGAAGGCTACGAAAGAGCCACTGAAGGAATTAAAAAGAATGTGATAATAGTTCTATTTTAGAATCACTATATTAACTGGGGAGAAACTGGAGTCTGGAAGAACATCTAAGCAAAAGAGAGATGGTGAGAGTCTGAACTTAGGTGGTGGTGATGGGGATAAAGAATAAAAGGTTCGAAAGAGCAAGGATTCAAACAGCAGCGATCAGGCCGTGCCCCTTCTTTGGACTCCCAAAGGTCAAACCCAAAGAGGTCAGTAAACAATTAGTGAAAGCCCCACTGTGTGCATCCGAGACTGGCCTGGGCAACACGGCAACTGGTGAGCTAACTGGGTCAAAGATGGGCACTTGATAGAAGGGCAGCCAGTCCACAGACCAGGCATCAATCTGTGATGTCCTAGAAAAGATGAGCTGAGTCAATCAGACAGTTTTCAGGAATTTAAGATCAAACTGTCCAATTTTGGAATGCATCTTCAGTTTAATCTGAAGGCTGCATCTCCCCATTAAAAAAAAAACTGCCCAATTTTAAAACGTGAGGTGCAGAGAGGTCTTGATAGGTCTTTAGTGCAAGCTAATGTATAGCACTGAATTAAGTCAAAACCAATTGGGTTCACATTCCCAGTTCTACTACTCATTAGCTGTGTAACTTGGGGCAGGCAACACAGCCTTCCTAAGCTAAAGTTACTTTTTAATAGATAAAATAAGTATAATAGGCCAGGCACGGTGGCTCACACCTGTAATCCCAGCACCATGGAAGGCCAAGGTGAGCAGATCACGAGGTCAAGAGATCAAGACCATCTTGGCCAACATGGTCTTGATCTGTACTAAAAATAGAAAAATTAGTTTGGCATGGTGGTGCACTCCTGTAGTCCCAGCTACTCTATGGGCTGAGGCAGAATTACTTGAACCCAGGAGGCAGAGGTTGCTGGGTGACAGAGCAAAACTCCATCCCCCGAAAAAAAAAAAAAAAAATGAAACGTTTGGTGTGTTTAATCTTTTTTTTTTTTTTGAGATGGAGTTTCGCTCTTGTTACCCAGGCTGGAGTGCAATGGCGTGATCTCGGCTCACCACAACCTCCGCCTCCTGGATTCAGGCAATTCTCCTACCTCAGCCTCCTGAGTAGCTGGGATTACAGGCATGCACCACCATGCCCAGCTAATTTTTTGTATTTTTAGTAGAGACGGGGTTTCACCATGTTGACCAGGATGGTCTCAATCTCTTGACCTCGTGATCCACCCACCTCGGCCTCCCAAAGTGCTGGGATTATAGGCGTGAGCCACCGTGCCCGGCCCTCTTTTTTTTTTTTTGTTTGAGACACAGTCTCATTCTTTCACTCATGCTGGAGTGCCATGACAGCTCACTGAAGCCTTGTCTTCCTGGTTCAAGCGATCTTCCCATCTCAGACTCCCAAGTAGCTGGGACTACAGGCATGCACCACCACACCTGACTTTTTTTGGTAGTGACAGGTCTCTTGCTACATAGCCCAGGCTGGTGTGGAACTCCTGAGCTCAAGTGATCTGCCCACCTTGGCATCCTAAAGTGCTAGGATTAGAAGTATGAGCCACTGCACCTGGCCCTTTGTGATTATTGTTGAAATTTACTGAACTGAAAAGGGAGAATAGTGGTAAGAGAACAAGAGCAGCCCATAGTGTCTTTGTTATGCTAAGTACCCAGATGTTAAGAGCTGCAGTAGATATTCCTGGTACTGTTCACTAGCAACCACATTCTAAGAATTACACTCCCTTTCCTTCTCTATCCACTTGACTCTGGCAGGAGTTGGCTCACTAGTATTATGAGACCTTACCCTAAGCTACAGCTGACTGAGCCAAGGGTGCACATGTGAACCAAGTGGGACTAATGAATCCTATCCTTGCAAATGTGAGCTTGATACCAAGAAAGTTGAGTTCATCTTTCTTTGGCTGCCATGAACTCAGAAATCAGGTCTAAAGATGGAAATAAAAGACTGAAAGTCACAGTGAGAAAGACACAAATGAGAGCTGGAAAGTGTCTTGTAGTGTTAGAGGTCCTAGTTTATTCCCAAAACTGAGCTGCCTGCCTGTCTTTGGGTTCTGTGAGACAATACAATAGCCTCTTTTGGCCACTTTGAGTTGGGTTTCTGTACCTTACAACCAAAAGAGTCCTGGCTCATACAAAAGCAATGACATAACATTCTAACATCACTTGAGAATTCTGGCAGGGAAGGATGAAGTGAAGAACAATGTTTTGGCTGGGCACGGTAGTTCACACCTGTAATCGCAGCACTTTGGGAGGCCAAGGCAGGCAGATTACTTGAGGTAAAGAGTTTGGGACCAGCTTGGCCAATCATGGCAAAACCCCATCTCTACTAAAAATACAAAAATTAGCTGGGCATGGTGGCGCATGCCTGTAATCCTAGCTACTTAGGAGGCTGAGGTTGCAGTGATCTAAGAATGCACCACTGCACTCCAGCCTGGTGACAGAGTGAAACCCTTTCTCAAACAAACAAACAAAATGATGTTTCTAAGCCTGTAATCCCAGCACTTTTGGAGGCTGAAGTGGGAGGATCACTGGAGGCCAGGAGTTCAAGACTAGCCTGGGCAACATGGTGAAACTCTGTATTTATTTATTTATTTTTTTATATTTAAAATTCTTTAAAAGGCCAGGTACAATGACTCACTCCTGTAATCCCGCATTTTGGGTGGCAGAGGCGGGAGGATTGCTTGAGTCCAGGAGTTCAAGACCTGCCTGGGCAACATAGCAAGATCCTGTGTCCACAGAAAAAATTTAATTAGCTGCAGGGGGAAAAATTAGCTGGTGTAGTTGCATGTGCCTGTAGTGCCAGTTACTGGAAAGGCTTAAGTGGGAGGTTTGCTTGAGCCCAGGAGGTTGAGGGAGTGAGCCATGACTGTGCCACTGCTCTCCAACCTGGGCAACAAAGTGAGACCTTGTCTCAAAAATAAATAAGGTTGGGTGCAGGGGCTCACACCTGTAATCCCAGCACTTTGGGAGGCTGAGGTGGGCGGATCATCTGAGATCAGGAGTTCGAGACCAGCGTGGCCAACACGGTGAAACCCCATCTCTGCTGAAAATACAAAACTTAGCCAGGGATGGTGGTAGGTGCCTGTAATCCCAGCTACTTGGGAGGCTGAGGCAGAAGAATTGCTTGGACCTGGAAGGCGGAGGTTGCAGTGAGCCAAGATTTCCCCACTGCACTCCAGCCTGGGTGACAGAACAATATTCCGTCTCAAAATAAATAAATAAATCTATATATAGTAATATATAAACATTTAATGAGTACCATCTGTCCATCAAGAAGCCTAATAAATCCTAGTTCCTATAAGATAAGTGATGGGGGAGGTAAACATAAGTATGAGAAACACAGAAGAAAGAGTTCTTTTTGGTAGAGACAGGATCTTACCATGTTGGCCAGGCTGGTCTTGAACTCCCGGTTTCAAGTGATCCTCCTGCCTTGGCCTTCTAAAGCACTGGGATTATAAGCGTGAACCACGGCACCCTCCACCAGACAGTGGGTTCTGTATCAGACTGGGATTAGAAAGCCTTCCCAGAATTGGATTTTTTTTTTTTGAGACAGTCTGGCTCTGTCACCCAGGCTGCTGGAATTCAGTGGTATGATGTCGGCTTACTGCAACCTCTGCCTCCCAGGTTCAAGCGATTCTCCTGCCTCAGCCTCCTAAGTAGCTGGGATTACGGACAAACACCATCACATTTGGCTTTTATATTTTTATTAGAGACAGGATTTCACCATGTTGGCCGGGCTAATCTCCCAACTCCTGACCTCAGGTGATACGCCCACCTTGGCTTTCCAAAATGCTAGGATTATAGGAGTGAGCCACCACGAAAGACCGCCAGAACTGATTATTGAGATACGTTTATAACAAAGTTCCTCAACGTCATCACTATATGCATAATGAGCTAGAAAATTCTTTGTCATGGGAGGCTATCTTGTGCACTGTAGAATGTTTGGCAGCATCTCTGGCCTCTACCCACTAGATATCAATAGGTTTCCCCCATTGTGAACACCAAACATGTCTACAGACAAATGGCAAATATCTAGAAGATTAAAATTGCTCCGGTTGAGAATCAGTGATCTAGAAATAGGAGAGTTAGTGTCCTGGAACAGAGCACAGGCCTTCTGGAGCATAAAAAAGCAAAAATCAAAGTAGCAAATCAACTCTGGGCAAAATAGCGAGACCCCCATCTCTAAACAAAAAATTGAAAAATAAGCCAGAAAGTTTTTAGCTAGAAATTAGCTGGGCATGGTGGCACGCACCTGTAGTCCCAGCTACTCGGGATGTTGAAGTGGGAGGATCATTTGAGTCTAGGAGGTCGAGGCTGCAGTGAGTCATGATTGTGCCACTGCATTCCAGCCAAGGTAACAGAGAACTTGTCTCAAAAAAAAAAAGAAATTGAAGGGTTTAGTATAGAGTTGTGCTGGAAGATGAGGACAGAAAGAAGGGCAGGAACCAAGCATGAAAGGCCACTAGCTATAGTTAGAATTAACCTGAAAAAGCTGTAGGAGGCTGGGTGTGATGGTTGATGCCTGTAATCCCAGCACTTTGGGAGGCCGAGGCAGGCAGAGCACCTGAGGTCGGGAGTTCAAGACCAGCCTCAAGTCTGACCAACACGGTG